GGCTCCAAGTACTTGTCTCCTTGCAAATTGTCTACTTAGTATGCTTTGAATTGACAGCCTTTATAGTAATATGCAACCTAGGGAGGTTGTGTAGCACTATAAAGACTGTCAATGCATTAAGAGTCTCCTTTCTTCTTCATATTGTGTTGGTTGATAGTGAGAATAAGTGATCTTAAGACACTTGAATCGTGTGGTATCGATAACTCTTTACCTGTTGATAGGCCATTATTTGCACATGTTTTGACCACCATTCTTGAACCGTTTGAGAGTCGATTCTCGTATTTTAAGCCGATTTCATGCTAGGTTGTTCGTTTATGTTATATTTCACGACTTGGCGTGGACGTGGAGGCGTAGAAGCGAGTTTTGGGTTAAAAAGTGGAGAGAGTTGGAGCTAAAGGAGCTGGAAGGCAGAAATACCGGGTTAGGCACTGAAATACCCGACCTGGTATTGTTGTTTTGGAGGCCGGGAGATCAGAGGGGGACCCACCCGTGGCGCTTAAATACCTGATCGGGTATTCTGACCGGGTATTTAGGCTGGATATCGCGATCTGCCCTTTTCAAGCGAAGAAGGCCTCTTTTGAGAGGGATCTAATTTTTAGAGAAAGAAAGCAGAAACCTAGAGAGAGCGACGAACAGAACTTCAAGCGCCCAAAATCGAGCTTCAACACCATTGGAGCTCGATTGAAGCTTGGAGAAGTGCCGGTTGATTACCAGAAGCTGATTTTCATCCTTCACAGAATGATTTCCGCGTCTGAAGCTGATTTCTTTTCTCTCTTTTTGGAGTAAACTCTCTCACTCACCTGGATATGAAGAACCCTAGATTTGTATGTTTGGTCTGGTTGTATGAACCCAAGTACATGTTCTTTGATATCGATTATATTCAATTGAGGCATGGTTTTCTGAATTGCATGAATCCTGATCAAATTCTTGTAGTTCCTGCTTTGACCTAGAAAGAGAATATCTGCCTAGGTTGATAGAGCACCCTTAATTGAAGGTAGTGAATCGAAGACTTTAGTCGAGGAGTCAATTCACTATTTTGTACTGGATTTACTCCAATAGAGGAGGTTTGGTACGTTAGGGCCTTAGTCTGTTTACTTCAGTGGAGGTTAGTCGCCCGCCGGGGATTCGGATTGAGAGGGTATAGAGACCTTTAGTCGAGACTTCGGACTGTCTAAGAACCTTCCACAATATAATTATTTTTGAATCTGGACTTGGTAAATTACAACTTGGCTTAGCTGCAGTCTAGGGGGAACCATATCTGGGTGACATCTCTCAAACTTAGACCACAACCTTTACTGCTTTTGTTTGCTAGTTTAGTTGGAACTTCACTACACTTGAACCGTTAAATAATAAGAATTTCATGGAGTAGTCATCACACCTATTTTTGAATCTGCATTAGTAGGTTGTTACACTTGGCAACTTTCTAGTGTGACAGTGCAGGCGGGTCAAGTTTTTGGCGCCGTTGCCGGGGACGGCTAGGTTGTTGAAGAAACGTGATTTCTTTTACTTTAGCATTTCTTTTCCGTGTTGATTTTTTTGCTTTATCCCACTTTTGCCTTCACCGGTTTGCCTGCTTGGCTGTGTTCAGGTAGTGCATGACCCGTAGCCAGTCGGGAGTATTACTACCGTTGGATCCGGAGCTAGAACATACTTGTCGCCAGCTTAGGAAGGAACAACGAGCAAGACTGGCTACAGAGGAAGTGCAAGTCGACGACCATCTAAGCAGCGACTCATAGCACAACAGGATGAACCTGAACCTGGGGCAAGACCCACCCCCGGGGATGCCTCTCCAAGCCCCCCCAGTCAATCAGGTTCTGGCCAATAATGAAGTCCCCCAAGAAGATGGGGCTCATCATCCACCACCCCCGCCGGGTCCTACTATGTAGTACGACTACACTCCACGGATCGCCGACATTTGCTCAGTCATCCTATATCCGCCCATTCCTGCTAATAACTTCGAGATCAAGCCATGCAGGATTCAACTGATAACATCCTCCAACCAGTTTCATGACCTCAAGGATGAAGAGGCGAGGGTGCACCTTTCTCGGTTCTTACAACTTACCAATGGATTCAAGCCGAATGGTTTACCATATGATGCGATCCGTCTTCACCTCTTCCCCCACTCTCTGGCAAGGCATGCGAAGAGGTGTCTAGAGACACAACCACCATTGTCCATCACTTCCTGGGACGATCTGGCCAACAAGTTCGTGCACAGGTACTATCAAGCCTCGAAGACCTCGGAGATTCAGCGGGAGATCACTTATTTCCGTCAAGAGCCAGATAAGTCACTACGTGATGCTTGGGAACGGTACTCGAGATTTTTCTGGCAGTGTCTCAATCACGGCTTTAGTGATGCATTCACTGTGGGGAACTTTTACAGTGCTCTATCTTCGGAGAGCTAGAGGGTGATTGAGTCTCTATGCCCAGGTGGGGACATTCTCACTAAGACTCCACCCGAGCTGAATCAGATGATCAGTACTTTGGCCGCCAGAGATCATTCTTGGGGGCAGATCACCAGAGGCAGGAACTCCCAGGATCGAGGTGTAAATGCCATTGAGGCTAGATCCGGGCTCGAGGGAGAGGTGGCGGAGCTAGTCCAGACATTGAAGCAGCCCAACAGTCTCATTCTTGGCAGAGGAATGCCGCCCTTTCAGTTGCACAGTGGCAATGGTGTTAGAGCTCAAACCATTTGGTGGAAGACTGTCAGGCCATGCGGGAGTCTTCTACACCCCAGGAGCAGCTGGACTTCATCGCCAATGCTCGGCGCCTTGATTCTCACAGTGGTACAGATAATGAGGGGTGGCGCCAGCATCCCAATTTCTCTTAGAATGATAACAACAATAACACCCCAAAGCCTCCGGTTTCCCAGCACCAGCTGGAGGGTTTCAGCAAAGGCGGCCTTTCCAGGCCCGACAGGGTCCATTTCCACAGCAGCAACCTTATCAGTCCAGACTGGGGGCAACCATTCCAGCAGCAGCACCGACAATTTGCCCAGTCTGGGAGGTCCATGCCGCTTCACGAGAAGGGCCATAGACACGAGACAAGAGGCCTAGGCATGAATGAAAATATACTAAGTCCGAGAAGGCCATGCCGCCTCACGAGAATGGCCATGTGTATGATTAAGAAATCCATGGCTGTGTCATGTGATGACCATGGACACGAAGCAAGAAATCATAGACACAATTGAAAAATACTAAGTCTGGGAATGCCATGCCACCTCACGAGAGGGGCCATGGACATGAATGAGAAGCGCGTGGTGGTGGAGCAATATATCACTAGTGATTAAGTCCCAAGAGGGTATGGACGTGAGTAAGAAACCCATGGCCATGAGGCAAAAGGACCATGACCCATTTGCGAGACGCCACATGCTCATCAAAAGACTAGTGTGGTACTAGATCTAGAACTGTAAGACACACTCCAAGGCTCACGACAATTCCAAGAGAGGCACCGCGGTGGTTGAGGAGTACCCACCATGTCCGAGGAAGCATGAAGAGGTTCTTTTTGGGAGTTATCAAAGAGGTACTTTCTAGTACAATTATCTTCACATGGCTATAAATAGGAGGAAGGGTCAGCAGAGATTGGGGTTCCGCAACCAAACAGTTGACACCTACGTCAAACTTTATCCTTTTTTCTCTGCAAGTAGCCATAGTCATAGATCTGGAGCTCTCAATAATCCTCCATAAGAGTAGAGGTAGTTTAATGTAGATCTGTTCCCAAAATTCCATCAAACAAACACCCTCGTTCGAACTTTGTTTAAAGAGGTATGAGTCGTGTCTTAGTAATCGTTGTCCAAAAAAGTCAAGGGTGAAATCAATTTGATTTCAACGCAAGTTTTCTCGCCGGAAAACACTATCTCAATATTTCAAATAGCTTAAGAAGTTTGTTTGTGAGCTATTTAGCATTTGAGCTATAATTTTATGAATTTGTGGGTTATTTTCATTATCGTTGAGTATTAAGTAAGTTATTAATCATTTTAATTGAAGTGACGAAATGTTGTTAATTTGTATTTTATTTATCATGCACTGCAAATAATTGTTTTTCTTCTAACAACTAAGCACATTTAGTCTAGCGTTTAGCGTTTTTTTAAACCTTTATAATTTACAAGATATATAAAGGCAAAACATGGGTTGGAATTGTCCCATTTCAAATTTCGTGGCCTGAGAGTGATTCTAGGAAGGTTATTTTTGTCATTGCACCCAGTTCATCTTTATGTATTAAAAATGTTATCATTGGAGTTCGAACCTTGCGCTCACTTAAATGAAGAAAGAGCATTAACCAACTAATCATTGGAGTTCGAACTTTGCGGTCACTTAAATGAAGAAAGAGCATTAACCAACTAGGCTACATTATATTTACTGTTATTTCTTTGATGAAATTCTAGAAATATATTTGGTGATGATTCTATATTTATATTTTATCTTAAGTTATTTATATTTTATAGAACGAGATTAGTCCTAAAATCGAAACTCAAGTAACATTGATTCAAACATTAATATTAAAATGTATGTGTAGTTTAGTTTAGACAAAATACAGAAGTGTAACCAAAACATGGACCTTTGTGACGAGCATATTCTTTTTTTTTTTTGTGACAAATCTACACATAATATAATGATAAAATTGCAAAATGAGAGTCTCATTTCAAAATTCGTGGGTTGAGAGTGATTCTACGAACTCCTTTTCGTCATAGCGCCCAAATTTTCTTTATATTTATGTGTAAATTTGTCACAAAAAATTACTATATTTGTCACGAAGATCCATATTTTGGCTACACACATGCATTTTGTCTAAACTGAACTACACATACAATTAAGGCAAAATACACTTATATAGCCAAAACTTTTGCGTTTGTGTAAATAATAGCCAAATTTGGTGAAATATCACCTATAACCACTTTCGTCCAATTATTTAACGGTGTTATTTGACATGCTGACTGGACTAACGGAAAGCTGATCCGACAACATTTGTAACAGTATAAGGTGGAATTAACTGGAAAAAAATAATTAATTAAACTTTTTTTATTTTCCCTCTATCACTTCTTTCCCCAACCGTCGTATCTCCATCTCAATTCTCCACCACACCTTCTATTCCTCCTTCTTTCCCTCTCCTCTCCCAAGTCCCAACTATTTCTTCCCCAGCTCCCAACTATCTCCTCCAAAAGCCCTAATTCTCTCCATCTCCAAAGACCCAGCCACACACCAATACACCGATAGCCACTTCTGATGTCTCCAACCTGTCGTAGGGGCAAGTTCACGGGTCTATCATCCAGAAGGAAACATAAGCTAAATCTTGAGCGGAGGAACTTCGATTCCATCATCCAGACCACCTTCGACTAAAACTTTAAGAAGGGAACCCATAGAGGTAGAAACCCAGCAACGCCGAGGCCGATTAGGTAGAACCCCCTTATAGTACCTGTCGCTCCACCCCAATTCAGAAGCGTCGGAGAAATCATAAGACGATTGCCAGAAAATGGCGTACGTCCAGTTCTCCTTAGCACTGTCGATTAGCGCCTAGAGGCGCTGCTAGAGGGTTTTCTGGTTGAAGAGAAGCGACGGGGGAGGCTGGTTGTGGTGGTGAGATTTGATGGGATCGGCGGGGGTGGAAGTGGAGGTGGAAGAGGAGCGATGAGGTGGCGGAGGGTCCGGCGACCAGAGTGCGGAGAGATCGGAATTCATGAAGGCTTCCATGACGGGTGTGTTGTCGTCGGCCCAGAGGTTCATCGTCGCGGCGGAGGGGAGGCGGTAATCTGTCATTCTACGCCGGTGGAGGGTTTATTTTTTTCGTAATCGGGCAAAAGTTGGGGAAGAAGGCTCGTGACTCGTGCGAAGTAGATGAGAATGTAAAAAAAAAATTAATTTTTTTATTTATGTGTAGATAATAAATTGTTTAAATATATGACGTTTCACTATTTGCTTATTTGGCGCTGACGTGTTCGTTGGGTTGGCGCCTAGTCAGCCAACCGTAAAATAAGTTGACAGTGTAATTAACACCGTTAAAGTTTCTAACGAAAATGACTATAATTTTCCTACAACATCTTTAAAAGGTGGATATAAGTGTATTTTGGAAAATTTGGCTATTATTGGCACAAACGTGAAAGTTTTGGCTATACAAGTGTATTTTGACTACAATTTAATATTTAATGTTTGAATCAATGTTACTTGAGTATTAATTTCACAATTCATCACTTTCTATAGATATAATAATTTCAGACAAAATACCTACTTGGTTGAAGAAGATCTTTCTATAAGATATATTCAATGTTTTAAGATTTTCCATTTCAAATTTCGTGAAACGAGAGTGCAAGTGTATTTTTGTCATCACAATTATTTATCTACTTCCTATAAAAAAGTAGCAATATCAAGATTTGAACCATGGTATATTCAAACAAAAACAATAATTACAACCAATTACACTAAACAAATTTGTTTTATCTTCTTAAATTGTAAACATACACTAAGCGAAGATTTGAAAAGCAGAGGACTTTTCCATCAAGGTTAGCTAGCCTATTAAATCTTCTAAAAAGCAAAGTTTATTATGTGATTTATAATTTTTTATAACATATAAAATGACGGGTAATCTTAAAATTGTAACACAAATTTCAATGCTTGAAATATTGCATATCGAATTGTAGTATTCAATATGCAAAAGTGATGTAGAATTCCTTAAATTAATATAATTTTTTAGAACTACTACGAAGCAATAATATTTTGCACAAACTATAGGTGACTTGTTCTATCAATTTTAGCCGAGTTAACTGCTAAACGTTAAACCTCTTGCTAATATGAATGGACCTGGCAATAATGAGACGATATTGGATTTAATGTGATGTTCATTTCGCCATTTTTGAATGTGTTGATCAATTTAAGGGCATTAACATATAAATGAGTTATAATTAACCTCACTATACAATTTTCTCTTTATAATAATTAGTTTCATCTTAATATTTGTGATGTTTGAAATATTTTATGTATGCTTTATAGGTTACTTACTATTTATGACATCAGTGGTAGTTGGTTCAAATGTAGTATTTTATCAAGTAGTCGAAATCGAATACTAGATGCATTTATGACTGTTTTTTATCTTAGTATTGTGAATAGGTAGAAACTTAATTATTAGAATGCATATAACTATACACAGACACATGGTCGAGCTAGTATGACATAGTTAGCGCATACCATGAAGACAATGTATATGGATTGGCCCTGTACAAGCATTGATGCTTCATTTCGCCATTTTTGAATGTGTTGATCAATTTAAGGGCATTAACATATAAATGAGTTATAATTAACCTCACTATACAATTTTCTCTTTATAATAATTAGTTTCATCTTAATATTTGTGATGTTTGAAATATTTTATGTATGATTTATAGGTTACTTATTATTTATGACATCAGTGGTAGTTGGTTCAAATGTAGTATTTTATCAAGTAGTCGAAATCGAATACTAGATGCATTTATGACTGTTTTTTATCTTAGTATTGTGAATAGGTAGAAACTTAATTATTAGAATGCATATAACTATACACAGACACATGGTCGAGCTAGTATGACATAGTTAGCGCATACCATGAAGACAATGTATATGGATTGGCCCTGTACAAGCATTGATGCTTCATGGGTCATACCAGACTTAAATTTCAAGGGCTCGTGTTTGGTGAACTCATGTTTTATGGAGAAATGCGTCATTTAATAAAAATAAAATATTCTAAAAATAACATATAAATTTTGAATTAATGAGTAGTTTTTCACATAAATGTGTGACGACGTAGATTCTAAAAGGTCTATAGGATACATTAATTGTTTATTTTTAAGACTCAAACATTTTTTCAATGTATACAACTAAACATTCATTTATAAAATCATTCTTGATTTACTTCATAGCTGAAAAGTCGTTTTTACAGCTTGCAGTAATAACAAAAAACTTCAACAATAACTTTAGAAGCATGTAAAGTGAAGAAGAAATTGAGATTTAGTATTTCTTTGGAGGAGGGGAGACTTTTTTGGTCTAAAAAATTTGAGGAAGGGTTGAAACTCATATATCATTTCGTTGTATATTGCATATTGAATTGGAGTATTGAACATTTGGAAGCGATATATAATTCTTAATTTAGTATTAATTTTCAACCCAGTTGACCAATAGCCTTAGACCTTTTGTTAATATAATATAGATCCAATAAGCATAAGATGAGATTTAATTTGATATACAGATTCAAAATCATTTTTTATGCGTAATGAATTTGTACGACAAATACATGTAAATAAGTGAAGATGAAACTGATCATGCATTTTGATTATTTAGATAAATAAAATGATTTAAGCGATGAACTAACTATACACTCCCTTGATTGGTTTAACGAGTTATGTTTTTATCACTTCTAGTAATTAGTTTATTCACAAGCTATCAAACTACTTTGCTCCGTCAAGGAATAAGCGGTCATTTGTTCGCCAGGTTTCAGGTGTTTTGATACACACTATTGACTATGAATGGAGAAGAAGCATTTCGAACTCAAAATTGAAGAAGTAATTGGGATGTTTCCAGGTTTCTATCGATTCTAGGCGGTGGGAAGAAAGAGGAAGGGAAAGGGGGATACTGGTGAGATACAAAGCTCAGAGAGAGAGATGGAAGAACAAACAGAAAAATAAAGAGGAAGGATAAGAGAGATTGAGAGTACACTTAAAAGAGATTGAGAATACGATTATGGTAATTTCTTAGGTTTAAGGGGTATTTGATAATGTCAATATTTTAGTGGTTTTTATTTTAAGTTTGAATTGAAACATCGTAGGTACCGACGGTTCGACATTAAACTTAAGATCATAGGCTAATTCGATAGTTGATATTTAGCAATATGAAACAGTTCAAACATTGTTAAATTATGATTTCAGTATAAAATACTTTACTACCAACTTTTTGGAGACGATTTTACAATCCTTTGGTTCCAACCATTCTTTTACACTAGTGGAAATAAAAGTTTAAGGCACATTTTGAACTATTTATTGCAAAAAAAACATAAGTTAGTTAGCGATAATGAGAATATGCGATCTCATTCAACCCAAAAGACACTTTACAACTTCTATATTTTAAAATTAAATGTATGCTTCTCATACACTCGCTCATTCATCAACTTAATGAGTAACATATATTTCATGTAATATGAGTTTCATAGGTTTTTATTTATTGAATTATTTCATGACAAAAATATTTGTTGCATGAAAATCACTACATTATTGCTAGACATGTCTGCGATCTGAGAATAATTTGGTAAGTCCTTACACAACACATTGTCCAACTAACTATTAGCGACAAGTTAACATTATGTCTTACATATTTCAAATCAAACAACTTCAGATTCATTACCAACAGTGTGGTAAAAAAGAATGCTCTATATTGGGGAAAACTTAAAGGACATACTAAACTCTATGATAGATATTTTGTTTCATCCTAAATGTTGATTATGTATGTATTATGAGAAACAACTCTAATATTCAACTATATGGTTTGGTTAAGAAATAAATGACAATTAGTTATATTTATTTCTTTTTTTCATTAAATTATATGTAATGCTTATATTATATATTTTTCTCTCTTTTCATGGAGGTATACACACATTATGCATAGTTGGATCACTTTCAAAAATATTATGTGCATAACTAAGGTAAAAAACAATCATTTCATGCATTTCAAATCATCTATTATATCCATTACTATATATATCGTATTTCTCACTAAAAATTTTCCGACCTACGGGCTGGGCCCTATGCTAGTAAGTATTAACATGATGTTAACACGTAAGTGTTAGAACCATGGTTCAGGAAACAGTACCAGACGTCATATCAGATTTGTTTCTGGTAGGGTATTTTGTGGTACGACCATGGTTCAACGTTTAGTACTGGTAAATACCATTTTTGTATTATTAAAATAATTTTTTCTCAAAAACCGTACAGGCCAAAATGTGGGACCGTGCCGGAGTAATACCGGAAAATACCGGATAATAAATTGTAAAATATTAATAAATACTTATAATAGTCGACAAATGTGCAACATAACAATTATACACTTCATCTTAAGAGTGAAAAGTTTGATGCCTGATTTATGGGTTAATTGCATGGTTGGTCACTGAGATTACAAAAAACGTTCAAATTTGGTCACTCAAAATATTTAAATTCATTGGTGGTACTTTAGTTTACGAAACCGGTTCACGTTTGGTCACTCTCCTTCTAACTCCGTTAACTTTCGCTTACGTGGCGTTCAACTCTAAAAGTTGACCGTTAAATGTGTGACGTGACAATTTAAAAATAATAAAATTAATTTTGTAAAATTTTCATCTCATTTCCACCTTATTATCACTTTTATTTAAAATAAATAAAAAATCCTAATTTCTTCTAATCCCCAATACCCCGCGGGCAGCATACCCCACCGTCGCTGTCAGCGGCCGCTTCCATTGCTGGGCTTTCTTTAACCCTCCACCTCAAGCGCTGCTAGTGATTTCTCGAAATGGTTATGACTATTCCCCGAACCAGAAGCTTCCCAACTACACCGCCGTCATCATCTTCAGTGACTCCACCGTCAACATCGGGAACAGCAACTACCTCCCTGACCAGGGTCATCCCATGATATTTGGAGGCCCTCTTCTACAATTTAAAATGTGGCCCCAAAATTTAACTCACAAATTTATTACAAATAAAAATTATTAAATAATAGGAGGGATGAACATTGATTAGGAGTTAATTAGAATTTGGTGTGAAAATTAATTTTTAGGCGTTGCATGGTTATAGAAAGTTGAGAAATTTTCGGGAAAGAGATAAGGAGAGGCTTTAAATACTCTAACTATTAGTTTTAATTCAGCAAACTAATTCTATCCCAGTGGTTAAATTTCCTTTCAGTGGAAGTGGAGGTCCATGGTTCGATTCTGCCAGTTGTTCA